CCAGCAAGTCAAGAAACAACCAGACAAAAAAAACAACTTCGAAGAGCGATCTACTCCAAGTTTTGAAGCAAGAGTTGGCGAAAATCCCACAATCTGAAATTGACAAGATGATTCTCACGATGCCCCAAAGGATCAACGAACTCCACGAAGCAAAAGGAAGATCTACTAGATATTAATTAAATTATAAATATATCAATTCATGTGAATATGACTGAAAATTTTCATTTTTTTCTTAAAAGGTGGTGTCTATTTACTTGTGATCACGCTGTGTACTGTTAGTAATCTTGTGTTAGTTCTATGAATATGAATACACAGTCAAATATTGACAGTTATTTAAATACATTTACAGTTTGTAATCTTTTGGTAGTTCTATGAATATGAATACACAGTAAAATATTAACAGTTATTTAAGTACTTGTACTGTTTATAATCTTGTGTTAGTTCTTTGAATATGAATACACAGTAAAATATTGACAATTATTTAAATTCATATACTGTTTGTAATCTTGTGTTAGTTCTAGGAGCGAATCAATGCTGTAAAATGACTGTCAAAATTCGAGATATCATTTTTAAGTTCTAGAACGCCGTGAGATTACGTTTCAAGTATATACTTCAAATCAACCATTTTAACTCCAGATATTTATAAGAAAATAGTAAAAAAGTAGGTAAACCGTAATCAGCCATGAAAACGTTTGATAATTGACAAATAAAACTCAGTTATAAAACAGTTATAAAGATATGATAAAAATTTACATATAAACTAATGTTATCAACATTCATATTAACAGTGCAATAATGTACTATTCATATTTATTTCTTATATAAATTTTCTACATTAAAAGCTTTTAGAACACTGTATAGTTTATTTATTCATATGAACGAATAGAAAAATAAAAAAAAGATTATCATTTTGACTGCTCTGAAAAGGGGACTGTAAAAATTCAAATGAAATATGTTTTAAAATCAAACAAGTTTGACATTTTCTTCCATTAAATGAATAAATATCCGTTAAATCGTACACGTAAGTAACTGATGTAAAATTAAGCAAGGATAGACCATATTAGTTTTTATATTTATCTATTGTTTCAGAAATCATTTAAGAAATAAATTAGTTTCTTACTCGACAGGCAAATCAGGAGCATTGTCCTCTTGTCCTGGCACGTCAACATGGATGAAAATGGACCGCTGTTTAATTTCAGTCATGCACGCATGTTCCACAAAGGTATGGAAAGAGGAATCTTAAAATAATAAAAATATAAAACATATTAGGATACAGAGAAGTTACCCAGAAATTACAGGGTTAAATTAAACCAACAAATCAATAAACTAGATGACTAGACTGCCTTAAAAAAAGGATTTAGAAAGCGAAAGGTTGCTGTTGTTCATTTTCTGTCGAGCTCGCGAATCTCATTCCAAACAAACAACATGCTATAGGTTAACGTTAATCTCTCAAGTAAGCATATTCTGCCTTCGATACAATAGAGTCATAACCTGAAATGACAGAATTCAGCTATGGCTAGCTCTGCTGCCAGAAGACATCAAGTTAACTCTGTGATTAAATTAGCAAACTGCACTTAGCCTTAAGATATAGATTACGTATTACAGTTGCATCTTTTCTGCTGTGTGCCCCAATAATAAAATAAAGATAAAATGCATATATAACATGTAAAGTATTATTTAATCAAAAGTAGTCTTGGAGCTTGCGAAGCTTCTCTTATAAATAATTAAATTTAACAAAACTAATCCGTAGAAGAAAAGCGGGTGTTTGCATTACCCTTGAAAGTCTTAGCCATCCCTTAAAAATGAGACTGGTTTTGATTTATTTGCAAGCAAATTCGTAGAAGTAGTTTTTTTTTAACCTGGCATACAGTATAGAGGAAATTCCACTACAAAACTAAGTTGCTCACGTTGTCATCATACTTATTAAATTTGAATAAGTAAATGTAGAATTACTATGTTTATCTTGAATCATAATTTCCTGGGTCTCAGGGGGGTTATGAACAAGCTTCAAAACGCTGTTTACTTTTTAAAGTGTAGAATTGAGCTCTCAGTGTTATGAATTGGTGTTGAACTGTAATTTACACATTATGAATCAGTATTTACTCTTAAATGATTGCTGAACTGAGTTTTAAACGTTAATTAACAATGGTCAAACTGTAATTTACACATTATGAACCAATATTTACTCTTGTAGAAGTGCTTAACTGAGTTCTAAACCTTAAATAACAGTGGTTGAACTGTAATTTACACATTATGAATCAATATTTACTCTTAAATGATTGCTGAACTGAGTTTTAAACGTTAACTAACAATGGTTGAGCTGTAATTTACACATTATGAACCAATATTTACTCTTGTAGAAGTGCTTAGCTGAGTTCTAAACCTTAAATAACAGTGGTTGAACTGTAATTTACACATTATGAACTCATATTTACTCTTATAAAAGCGTTGAACTGAGTTCTAAACGTTAATAACAATGGTTGAGCTGTAATTTACACATTATGAACCAATACTTTCACTTATAGAAGTGCCAAACTGAGCTTTAATAATTTTAAAAATAGTGCTTGAACTGTTTTTTACTTGTTTGTAAAATATGTCTGCTCTGGAAATGCTAATTGTTAAACAAAACAAATTAACAATATTGAAATTAAATTCCTGACAAATGCATATAACGATATGCAGTAAAATGTTTGTTTCAGACAACTTTAGTAAAATTTGCATTAATTTGGTTTATAAAACTTGAGCAAAGTCTTGGAAGCCTTTTATACCCTTGTTTAATTCAACTCTTCTTATCAACATGTTAGTGATAGTTAAAAACAAAAATGGCCATTGAATTGAAATATAAAACACCATGGCAACGTATTTAATCAAACGTTTCGGTGCTCCTATTTTTCATTAAACTTGGATCATTCAGTATATATAAACATAAGACAAATTAACATAATATATAATTAGCATAATATATGCATATCTGACAATAGAAACTTTAAAAATTCCCTTGCTAGAACAATTCCAGTAATTCAGGTTATATAATTCAAGTTTAAAAGAAGTTTTTTAGAAAAATAAAAACGAAACGAGATAAAATCGAAAACTTATTTACCAGTCTATATTAAATTTTTATATAACTTGTAGTGAAATAATCAATTCGACTGGTATTCTTATGGAAATTGTACAAGAAAAACTCTACTCGTGTGTGAATTTGATTATTCATGGAACTACACTGTTCAGATATATATATTTTTTAATTACAGTTTTTACTACGTTTGATGTCATTTTATAAAAACGACGTCCCAAGTCCTGCGCTGCTCTTGGAACTATTTCTTACATCCCTCATCCTGATGCTAATGATTATTAACCGAAACCACAGTTTCCTTTGTAACAAGTTCTTGCAAAGAAAGGCGAGATCAATCTTGAACCACACAGTTTGATAAACTTTCAACATACGCCTTACTGTGTGTGTGTGAACATCGGTTTCCAATGTCACCTTTAAGCAGACCAAAAGTACAAAATGCAATAAAGCTGCTCTAGGAGACTTGATAGATATGTGGTCGAATGGAATTCCCGTGAACCTTGTGAGCTTTCGACAACTACAACTCATTGTTAATGTGCTTGGAAATATGCCCAACTTCATTTGCAATGACTGATTGGGACAGAGGATTCTCTTTCGCAATCATAGTCTTCACTTTGCGGATTAGTGTGTTTTGCTATATTGAGTAATATTGAAGGTTTCCTCCTTTTAAATTTTGAGTCTTTTTGGCTCCAGATCTAATATCCTTCCTCGGAAGCAGCTGTGGCATATATTATTATTCAACCATAAGTCTGACCGTAGCGGGATTGCACAGCTGAATGGTCGAGAATATATGGTGATCAGATTGTTTAGCTCCTAAACATGTAGCCCGTGGTTTCATTTGCGACGACATATCACTACATTACTTATACATATAGTTCATAAAAATAACGGTTAACCCTCTGTAAAGCCTAATAGACAGAAGTGCTGGTAAATATTCAAAAAAGGCATTCAGTTTGGATATAAGAAGTGTCACTTTTTTATTTCTGTGCTTAAGGTCTCAGACATCGTAGGCTGGAATATCACTTGATATCCCTTTAGTGATCACAGTAAGATCTGTGTTAAGGTTTTTACGTTTTCTGTGTCCGATATAAATGGGTTGTTCCTGATATCTTCTAAGTTACAGCTAACAGGATATCTCCTAGCATCACGTGCTTTGGACAACTGATGCGCAGTGTCAGTCGTTTCTCTTGTCTTGTTACGTTTTTATCATGAAAAGAACATGTAAACATAAGAAAACGCTTAGCCATTTTCGATGTGCATGTGGTTCTCTTGTAAATTATAACCAAATCAGATTATTAATATTTCATATTCAATTCTGACCACCAGGTTACTTCTGTTATGTTTCTGTAATATAAAAATTAAGCTGCCTGTAGTAGTTTGTTTCAATAACATAAATAACTAAGACCTTCTCCATTTCCATTTAGTTTTAGTTGTTATTTCTACATAACACAACTTACAATAAACTACAGAGACAAATTCTTCTTTTGATAATTCACCTTATAAGTAAGCCCAACAAACTCCTCCTAAATATGAAGTTAGCTTAAACAAGTCAATATTTTCTGTGAATATTATTAATTGAATAAGAATTATAATTTATTTGGGCTTTCTTGAAATAAATCGTAAGATGAATGACTAAGAGAAAGAGACCTGTGAACAATAGTTCGGTTTATTTGTTAGAGTGACGTCATTTTGGCTCCTCCAGATGCTAACAAACGAAACCTAATAAGTTTCAATTGTTAATTGAATAATGTCATTCATTATTATTCTCTAATCGTCTATTGGCCTATCAGATATAAAGGGTTGAATAAGTTATACTAGAACGATTTTGAATATATAAATCAGCAAGTTACGCGACAACCATAGCCGGTATAAAGTTCCGATGGAATGGCATGTATCAGAACTACGTTTGACATTGTTTAGCGTTGATTAGTAGCGTGATGCCACCGATAATTACAGCCAACAGTACGTAACACAATCAAGAATGATTGTGATTTTGTCTAGGAATTGACACAAGCTACTTCCATGACAGGTCAGACATTCATGATACTCCATAAGAAGACATACCGATCAAGTCACCATATACAGCGCCTATAGTCCTATGAGATCGGAATGTTGATACATGCACTGGGAAACCGTTGTCTTCGTACATTAGGATTATAGAAAACATACAGAAAAGTAGTATCGTACTTCGACATAAAAGCCTTATGGCAGAACCTTTTAAAACAGAAAACACACTGTGCGTCTACTATTAAAAACATGAGTGGACGTGGCGACATAGACTGTAACGACATGGTGAGGCTCCAAAATCGTTTCAATATAACATGCATAAAAACCCTTTTTTAAGATCTTCAAGTAAAGTAAAAAAATTAAATCAATATCATTCACAAAACACCAGCTTCCTAAACAGTATGGTATATAAAATCGTGAGTACCTAAACAAATGGATATCCAATAAACTCAGCATTTCTAACCTCATTTTTTAAATTAATACAACTTAAAAAAAAAACAATCTAGCATTCCAGTCTAATTATCTCACGACTTTAAAATCAAATCAATCTAGTTTTGTACAACATAAGTTGTGCAATACTGAAATCTATTTCTAAAATCATAGGGCCCACCAGTGGCACAGCGGTAAGTCTGAAGACTTAAAAATCGGATTTCGATACCCGTGGTGGACACAACACAGATAGCCCATTATATAGAGTTGTGCTTAATAACATGCAAACTAATAAAATCGTAGGTCATACTAAAAGTCAAGGTAATATGATTAGTTGTTTGTTTGTTGCTAGTTAAGCACAAAGCTACACAATGGGCTATCTGTGCTCTGCCCACAACGGGTATCGAAACACGATTTTTAGCGTTGTAAGTCTGCAGACATACTACTGTGCCACCACTGGGGGGGGGGGCGGATAATGTGAACTCAAGTCCTAAATGAAGTATTATACAACAAAGTATTCTAGTCACAATTCAAAATAAATATTCTATATAATTTCTTGAATATTGTAACTAGAATTATTTAAAACGATTTATCCTTTGTTCCAAATGCCACAACATATAGAAATACGTTTTCTACCTTAACTTGTTGAAAAGAGACAGAGTAATTTAAAAGGACTAAATCTTTCCGTGTTTAGAAAGATATAACATACTCCTTCCGAGTGAAATTAACTAT